TATATATATATATATATATATATATATATATATATGGCATTCGGCTTAGTTCGGGTATTTTCCCACGTCATAGTAGTTGTGCTTTTAAAGTTGTAGCAACGTTTCAGCAGAATCTCATCTGCCATCATCAGGCTTCTGTATAGTGTTCATCTGTGAGTCAGACTTTTACAGTGGTTTCAGATTTAAATTTGGGGCAGCCTATTGCTATGCCAGAATGGTTTTTTCTTTATCCTGATTGGTTGGGAGTCTTGGTCTGTGTTTATTGGTCTTGGAGTTTGCTGTGTTCTGCTTGATTGGTGTTTCTGATACCTTCTGTCTGTTTTTTGGCTCTTTTTGTATCTTGATTGGCTGGCAACATTGTGTTACTTTATTGGAGGCCTTTAGTGCAGCTTGGCTCCGGGTAAACGGACAGCTATCATTAGTTAGGAAGCTAGGTTTCATCTGGGTGCCTGGTTGGGGTGTGTTTGAGCTGGAGGTATTAGGGGGGATCTGTTTGTGCCCAGGGTTTGCCTGGCTTGTGGTGTGGAGATTTTTTTGTTTGTGAGTGCAGGCTTCCAAATGATTGACAGTCTGGTGGAATCATCTCTTCTATTCATGCTTTCTGGTCTTTTTTCAATCTCTATGGCTTCTCTGATGATTCTGTGGCTGGGGTTTTCTATAGTGGCTAGGGTTTTGGTGCCATTGAAGTTGATGCTATGACCTGTGGCTTCCATGTGTTGGACTAGTGAGGAAGTGTGTTCCAGCTTTTTGACTGCATTTTTGTGTTCATCCAGGCGGGTACTTATTCTTCTATTGGTCTGTCCAATGTATGTGGCCGGGAATGATGCACAGGGGACTTCGTATATGCCTTGGTTTTCCAGGTCAATTTTATCTTTGGGGTTTCTAAGGATGGTTGCTATTATTCTGTCTGTTTTGAAGGCAGTCTTGATGTGGTGTCTGTGTAGTATCTTACTAATTTTGTCTGTGGTGTACCTCTTATGTAGGGCAGGACAGCTGTTCCATAGGTCTGTTCATCTTCTGGGTCTCTATTATGTCTCAGTGTGTTTTTGTGGATCAAACCGGTGATTTTGCTTTTGTGGAAGCCGTTGGCTGTCAGTACTTTAGTCAGGGTGCATAGTTCAGTCTTAAACTAATGATAGCTGTCCGTTTACCCGGAGCCAAACTGCACTAAAGGCCTCCAATAAAGTAACACAATGTTGCCAGCCAATCAAGATACAAAAAGAGCCAAAAAACAGACAGAAGATATCAGAAACACCAATCAAGCAGAACACAGCAAACTCCAAGACCAATAAACACAGACCAAAACTCCCAACCAATCAGGATAAAGAAAAAACCATTCTGGCACAGCAATAGGCTGCCCCAAATTTAAATCTGAAACCACTGTAAAAGTCTGACTCATAGATGAACACTATACAGAAGCCTGATGATGGCAGATGAGATTCTGCCGAAACGTTGCTACAACTTTAAAAGCACAACTACTATGACGTGGGAAAATACCCGAACTAAGCCGAATGCCATACATGTAAGTACCCGCGAAAACTTAAGAATATAT